CTCACATACTTAGTTTTTAGAACACTTCATCCCTTTTAATTGCTGTAAACATACTCTCTTAATAAATGTGTTGTTTCCTCAGGCATAAAATGCATCTGTTTTTTATGTTAGCCATTTTAGGTCCTACAGTGTACAGACCAAACTGACATATTTAAAAAATTCCCTTTCATTTGCTCCAACTACATTCTAAATTACAAGGAGTCTACACTGGCAAGAATCTCAACTTTGAGGGTCATATAAGCGAGTGATGTACAAGAACTAGTCAAAGAGTAGGAATACTTGTGCGCATGCGAAACTTAATACCTTGTAACGCGAAGTTGATGTTATACAAGAAGTCCATCTTGCCATGTTTCACTTACTGTCATCTAGTATGGAAATTCTGCAAATCATCTGATAGCAAAAGATCGAGCGCATCAAAGAGCGTGCACTGCGCGCAGTATGCCAAACTGAAACGGAGGATGAACTGCTCACTCGCGCCAAACTACCTACGCTTTATAACAGACGTTTGCAAGATCGTTGTAATGCTAATGTCTGAATGTATTAAGTAAAATACGGGATGGCTCCAAGCTGTGTATCTGAGTTATTCAGGATCAAAAGTACACACTAGCGCCCAAGAAACTGTGATTTTGAACTACCCCGCTTTGATACAGTGGCCCATGGGAGGCATTCGCTGCGATATCAAAGACCTTTTATTTGGTCGAAGGTCAAAAATAGGTCAGTGGTGAGCTAAGAAACTTAACAAACCTCAAAGCATTCTAGAAACATATACGCGGTGTGGACCTTTCGAGCCATGTTGATAATAATAGGAACTGCTGTGACCTGTGTCAATTATGAGTCGTGTACATTACAGATTAGTGCCAGTACTCAGGAAAGTGTCCCCAATAGCTAACTGACATGCTAAGTACATTGAAACTCCTGATAATTATAATTATTTTAATTTTATTATTATCATTATTATTTTTACTATTATTACTATCATCATTATTATTGGAGCAAAATCCCCACCCTTTTCGTACCTAAAGCCTGCAAAAGGTACCTCTTTTGGGCTGAACATCCCCGTGTAGATCATTATAGAGAGAAGCCCCTTTATTTTGTTTGCAAATTAATACCAAAGATCAAATTAGCAGGTTTCTTCGTGACATTTCGTCAGGTGTGGGCAAGCAATGGTTATCAACGAGTGAAATTAAGACAGAAGGAGCCCCTTCAAAGCAAACGGCAACAACAGCAATTTATTACACGACAAAAAGATTACAACGAATGTAAGTAGGCCGAAAAGAAAAGAGGAAATAATTCACCCCACCCGCTAAACGGGGCGGGAAGTAGAGTGGAAAAGAAAGAAAAATCTAAAAAAAAAAGTAGACTGAATTCTGAACAATTATATAATAATGCTATATAGAGATTATCACCTAAGGAGACGTGAAATAAAGAACACGTCTTTTCGTCATCAGCACAACTGCTAAACATCACTTGATCTTAGGCCAGAGTTATATAAAGGGCTATGCCTAGCTGATGGGAACATGAGGGACCTATAATCTCATATATAAAGTCGCCAACCCATGTATAAAGCCGCAAAAGAATAAAATGGCACCAGAAAATTTAAGAAACTCTTTGACTTGAAATATCATATATCTACTCGCCTATGACTACTCGTATGAGTGTCAGCCGTTGCTGGGAACTTCAGCTACTATACAGTAAACCCGCGCTCAAGATTAGAATTACAAGAAGTCTTCCTCATCGGTTCCTTTGCAAATTTTCTAGTCAATACGTGGAATGCAAAATGAACACGCTTAAATAAGACTATTTCAAACAGAATCGACTGAACTTCTTTTAGTAGTTTCTCTTGTAAGCATTTATACTTTATTTAGCCTTATTGTGTGTAATTGAATGTGCTCAGTATACTGCTTAAAAGCAGGGGATGCAGGATTTTTACCCTGTTTGTGAGAATTCGGAAATCATACGTTTGAGCGGCAAATGCGAATCGACGAAGCGTTAAGTGTTGTCTCCTTTCAAACCAAATTGTAGTGTTCCTTGTTACCTTTTTTATTTTATTTTATGTCATTGTCTTTGGAAACAGATGAGAGATTTTGAAAAGCAATGAAAAAAATAGCAGGATGCGAGATTTTCGTGAAAAAGGAGCTGGGATGCTGGATTTTCGTGAAAAAGGAGCTGGGATGCGGGATAGGGATCCCCTCTTCCAGATCTTGGTACTTATAACTTATGCATAAGATGGCCTACAGGAAGACTTTTCCAAGACGTGGTAGTAAATGGATTGCACGCATATGAATCAGTATTTATACACACGAGTTGCTTTGTTGGCCAAAGTGACCGCAGTGACGAGCTTATGGAGCGCGAGTGAATGATCAGAATAATTGAGCGAACTAGAAAGAAAACAAATGGGGAGAGCGGTTCCCTTCGGTCTGCCCTGTTTTTGTTTTGTTTCGTCTTCTTTCTTAACAGCTCTCAATATTATTCAGCAGCTCTTGTTAACAAATGGAACAGGCTATGAATCCCCGAGAAATTTTATATAGTTACAAGACAATGACTGCCTATAAAATTAAATAAGCAATTAATCAGTATCCCATGAAAATTTCTAAGTTTTTTAAAACGGTTTAACCTTGCAAGTTAATTTTTTTGTAATTTAACGGTACCAGTTTCTTGATACACTGTCGGTCTACTGAAAAATTGCATCTAGTACGTTCCTATCCATTATGCCAACATATAGAGAAATTTCCATCGCTACTAGCCATGGGCACCCAACGAGAATATAGTTCAAAATCACTTAAACATGCATTGTTGATCATATTTTAGTATTTAAACGGTAGATATGGGCATATTTTTGTCCCCTAAGAACTTTCCATCTGTTCGGATTTCCGAGCTAAAGTCTAGTGACCCGAAAATTATAAGAATCAAAACTTACCTTTTCGAAAATTTCAGCCCGAAAAAAGGCTCCCGAAAATTCTAGGTGACCTTTTTAGGGTAAAAATCCGTTAAAAATGGGTAATTATACAAGTTTTTAGGTGTTCGAAAATCCTCGAAGAGGCAGGCAAGCAAGAAATTTTACAACAAATGTTCCGGAAATTCTAGATCTCAAATCGTCTTCCGAACAGATATTTTCCAAAAATTGGCGTTGGGTGCCCCCGACTAGCTTAGTCCCTAGTTGTCCCAGTCCGGTTAGCACTGGGGTCAATTTACGAAAGTGTAATTAACAAGTGTAACCCATTGTCTTAGTATAGGGCATAAATACCACGAATTGTTATACACAATTAATTTGAGTCAATTTTGAAATATCACGAGTGGTATTGAGCCAAATATCACGTACAAATCATGGTATTATTTGTTTACACTACTACCCGCAAAATGTTTAATAATCTAATTTTCACATGTAGGTATTTCAAATCAAGCTTAAATACCGCTGCTCTAAGCCAATCAAATTGACCACTCCAGACAATACCGTAACATACCATAATACTCTTTGTTTGTCAACACAGAATTTTGCATATGCATTGTGTTCAGTTTCTCTTGGGGCCATTTTAACTCCCAAGAGAAACTGAAGACAATGCTTATGCAAGACTTTGGGGTGACAAACAAAGAACATTATGGTATGTTATGGTATTTTCTGGAGTGGTCAATTGCAGAAATGTGTCATGTAGTAGTATAAGGGTTAGAAAACAATAGCTACACTTGTAAATTAACACAGTTGTGAACCCGAAACTCCAATTCTTTATATCACTTATCAAGATTATACTGATGCTAATCTAGATCAGGTCAAACACCTTGGATTTCACATCACCAACCAAAAAAGTCCTAGGATAGTCCCCGGGCATCTGGGAATGGATTGATACCATGACCGATTTCAACTTTGTACAACAACGCCCAACAACACCCAACAACATGCAACAGGGTGTGCAAACGAACGCAACATGTAAAATCCAACAATGTTACGTCCGTTTGCATGGGGCTTTGGATAAAGTACTGTCTGTAGATGACTACAGTACTAGGATTTTCGGATAAGTTTTAGCGAGTTCTAGTGGCTTTTACTACAGATGCTTTAACCATACCACCCGACGCACGATGCTAAAATTTGTGCATGTAGTAGTGTAGTTGTTTTACCGCTGCAACGGAGCGCGCACAACGGTACACGTATAGACCTCTTTCATAATGACGGCCTATTAAAAATCTATTCTTTTATAGGAATGATAATTAGCCTTTCTGTCTGACCTCGTTAGCATGTGCAAAATACAAAAGAGTTCCTACTTTTCAAATGAGAGCAGAAAAGCTCATTTATACACATTTGGGCCGCCATTATGAAAGAGCTCTATATATACAATATAACCACGGTCAAATTCATAACATGACATGTTGGTTTTGTTAATGTTTTCGTTTTGTGGAAGAAGTTCTAGTAATTAGTGGTGTACTTGTTGATGGCTCTTGTTTATGATTTTTGTTGCACATCGGGTGATGTTGAGTTGGAGGTGTGGTTGTTTTGATTGGTGGTGTTTTGGTGTTGTTGGCACCACCTTTCTACGCGCACGATGATAAAACTAAGAGGCAAGTCAACCAAAACTAGAATTACAAGTCATTAAACAACTCATGCATATGACATTTTCTTTTTTTGTGTGTGGACAAAGTCTACCTTTTTTTATCTTATTCCCGCAAATCTTGGATTAATAGTTCCAATCCATCGAGGACTTGTTTAGTGGTCGGCTCCCGGTCAGTATCGATTTCACATTTCTGATGCAGTTTTACATTTTCCTTGATGTCTTCAGGATCGTTGACCAGAAAACCTCCAGCAGATAAGTAAAAGCCTTGTAGGTCACAGATCAAGTGGTATTTCCTCTGAGGAGCAACCATGTACTCTAGGATTTTCTTAAGGTCGTTCACCGTCTTCTTCCTTTTATCAGGAGTTGTGATTTGTTCTCGAACTTTTTTGATCAACATTCCCACGGTGCCGCCCTTGAAATAACCGTCCAGGCGGTGATGCTGACCTACATTTTTGTCTATCCATCCCTCCAAGAAACCGTCACAGGTCAGGTCACTGCTCTTCGCGCACTTGACGCCCATGATCACTTCCTTGTCAAATTTCACCGTCCTAACGCCGCCCTCATTAAGCTTCTGGAGGTTTTTAATCTCCGGGTCAACGATTTGGGTTTTACAGAATACTCCGTACTCTTTGCAGAACAGGAACACCACGCTTGGCATTTGGGCGATACGACAGGCACTCTTCGCTTGTCCCGAATCTAGACTCCCAAGACAGAATTGGTCATAATTGATCTTGATGGTTTCAAGCTGTTGATTAACTTCCTTGCCTTAGCAAAATCTGGCTCAGCAACTGAACTAGATACCATTGCCAACAGCAAAAAAAATGGAGACTGTCACCTATCAATAACAAAATAGCTCAGTAATTTAGAGTTTCGGGATGATTTTTTGCTCGCCGTTTTCAAAAAAAAAAAATTGAATCGTTTTCGCTTGTCCACACGAAAACGCTAAAACGATGGAATACGAAAGTATCCCCTACGCTTTGTTGAATGAGGAAAACGATAACCCCGGAATTTCAAAAATTTCCACTCTGTTGTCGAAAACCTACGTTTTTGTTGCGTGTTGTTTCGTGTGGGCGGGCCCTCAAAAGGTTTTGTTCTTAAAACAACCACATTTCCACTTGGCCAAGAGCCATTATGACTCTTGACATGGCCTGTTTCCCCGGGAGGGTAGTGGGGGGGGGGGGGGGGGGGG